GAGAGATTGTTAGGGAAAGAGTGAGAGAGAGATTGATAGGGAAAGAGTGAGAGAGGGATTGATAGGGAAAGAGTGAGAGAGAGATTGTTAGGGAAAGAGTGAGAGATTGATAGGGAAAGAGTGAGAGGCCCAAACATGCCCAATGTGACCCAAACATGTAATTATTCGATGCTTCCTTGTTTTTCTAGGAGACGCTGGTGAACTTGGAAAGACAAATATACGCGTTTGAAGGCAGCTACCTAGAAGATACCCAGATGTACGGCAACATCATCAGAGGGTGGGACCGATACCTCACCAACCAAAAGTAAGAATCTCATATAATACAATGCAGGTCTGCTTTTAAAGAAGTGCTGGATTGTTCAGGGATCACCAGACGCACAGGATCGATTCAATGTGTTTAAATACAGAGATGATTATCACCTGACAGTTATTTGTCCTTGTTCCTTTCTTTGTTGATGACATATTTTAAACATTTAGATTTAGATTTCTGATGTTTAATTTTGTGATTCCTGCAGAAACTCCAACAGTAAGACTGATAGACGGAATAGGAAATTCAAGGAAGCAGAGCGTTTATTCAGCAAGTCGTCGGTCACATCACATGCAGTAAGTCCGTCGCCCCACAAGTTTTTGTTCATCCTTCTCTTCATAAGAAAAGCTGATACTTCAACCTGACTCTCTTTATAGGCAGTCTGTGCGCTTGGTGGGATACCAGATCACATGAATGAAAAGCGTGAGTTGGTTTTTTGAACTTTTGTTAGATCTAAACGTTTCTCCTCGTGTCATTTCTGACACTTAAGTTTGCGTCACTGATTTTGGTCCCATCAGGTGAAGCAGGCAGCGGCACGGAAAGCGACACATCTCCAGATCTCCAGAACCAAGAAAACGAGCCCAGCCAGGAGGACACGGAAGACGTGGACTCGACACTGCAGGACCTGAAGCCTCAGAAGGCCGCCTCCTCCTCATCCTCAGGCAGCCATCACGCAAGCCACAAAAAGAGGAAGAACAAAAATAGACACAGGTATAAAATCAATAAGAAGTAATGCATCAGCAGGTTGTTCAATCTTTTCCACATTTGCCGATATGAACATTTTCTTTGTAGAACATCAGAAAAGATCATTGATGTTTACAGTTTTTATTTTACTTGGCTAGTTAATGATATAAGCGACATCCAGCAACTGACTGGGATGTTTGTGTTCTCACATACACACCCTGCGGATACTTTCAGTAAAAAGTGAATATAACAGACAGTTAATGAAGTTGTCAGCACTGGTACAGTGGAAAAATCGACTAAGTTGCTTCCTGTGGTTAATGCCGGCGTGTTATCCACCTCTTTAAGGTCGGTCTGTGTTTTCCTGACTGTTTCTAACCACACTTTAAAGCAGCAGGAGCTCCACCTAACACATTGAGAAGCAGCGTCACTCTGTAAAGTCTGGACTGCAGTTTAATGTAGACGTAGGGCTCTAGTCTCAGGTCGGTGAACTAACAGCTGCTGCTCTCTTCCTCCCCCCCTAATGCTGCCCCCCCTCCCTCAGCCCTTCTGCCATGTTTGATTATGACTTTGAGTAAGTCGGACTTTTACTTCCTGCTCCTGTGGTGTTCACGTCCTGCCTGCTGTAAACTCCCATCCTCCACTTTTCCACTGTGTATTGTCTTTTTTTTTTTTACCTGCTCTGCTTTCGTCTCTTCTTCATGTAGAGTTTGGGTTGAAGCCTGTCAGTCATACTGCATGTCCAACACTTCATTCTTTTCATTTTGAATGCAGCATCCAGCACTCCATTAGACTTTCTTGCTTGTTTTTCTTCTGACCCCAGATTTATTGTGTTTCGCCGATTCCAGCAATCAGATAAACACTGCTGGTCGTGTCAGACGAGGGTTTGGCTTACGATTTGTGCATAAAACAAGAACACACATGATCATTTAGCGTTCTTGTTATAGGCTTGTTTTTAGGCTTCTTCATGGTATAGTAGTGGCACCGCTTTTCACCATAACCCCCGTCAGAAACAGGTCTGTGGTCTGAGGATGTCTAACGCAACCGTATTTCTTCTTTCGTTGTAGGTTTGACATGAAGGTTAACAAGAAACCACGAGCTGTAAGTGGAATTCTTGTTAAAAAATCGTTTTATATACAGTCTATGTAACGTTACGAATATTTGGTGAATATAAATAATAATAATTAGATACTGATAATAAAGATATTATCAAACTATTTGTTGTGATTTTACTTCAGTCACTTCTCTAATTCTCTGCCTCTCTCTCCTCCTGCAGGATTATTCAACTTAAAGAAGCCGACTGGAAAACCTGACCGCACACGAGGAGGATGCATGTAGAGAAGCAGAGATATCTGGACTTTGTGAATTTTGTATGCCTTGTTTATTTTATTTTTTTAAATCATTATACTTCAGCCTGTACTGTGTGCATTGCTTGATACATTCCCCCTGCCACCTTCCTGTGGTCATGGTCAAAACTGTGACCTACTGATCTAAGTAGAAATGTTACTGGAGGCCTGAGGAGGCCGCCTCCAGAAACGCACCATTTTGTATAGTGTTAAAGAGAAAAGTGTATTTATTATGTAGCTGATTTTGATGTTTTACATTGTGAGAAAGTTTTGCTTTTTGTTAAGCATCACATAGTCGTTCAACCCCTGAATACCCTGAATTCTTTTATTACATTTTTTTGTTTTGCAAAAAAATAATAAAACACCAGTAGCTGGAATCTTCTCTGGTTATTTACGTGTCTGTTCATGAAGGCGGTGCTTCGTATCACTCGACACAGTCGTTAGGGGATAGTCGTAGGTTGAGGCCTGGCTTTAATAACCACCCTCAGGCTTTGTTGTTTCTCTTGTCAAATGCTGACGGACCCTGAAACCTTGAAAGTGACCAACTGTTTGAGTTCCCACACATGTGGTCCATTAAAAAGTGACATTACGGAACAGTTTCCTTTTTTAAAGAGTCCAAATATTATTCGACTATTACAGAAAATAACCAGCACATTCTTTAGTGGCAGTTTGTTTTATGAAAATAGTTGCTTGAGTAAACGGAGGACGAACAGATGACAGTTCACTGACATACACATGCTGCTACATGGATTTTCTCAGCCATACACTTTAAAATCTTATTTTAAAAATGTGTGATTAACAAATGTCTGGAAGTAAAAGCTGTTCACCAGCCTGCAGTATCCTAACTTTTCACTAGATGCCGCCAGAGGACACAGCTAGTTGAGATATAAACCGACAAACTTAGATTTTCATTTTGATCACATCGGACAACTCTACCTAAACGTCTTAAATATTATTCATATATAATCAAATCATACACTTGTACACTGTTTAAAAATAGAAGTGTTACATTAACAGTTTACACAATGTTGTATTAGAACTATATATCACATTTAATGCATACTGATACGGTGCAATATGCTTTGTGTGTGTATAAGTGAAAAATAAAAAGCAGAGACGACCTAAACTATAATGATGCTGCAGGTGACAGTTGTAAAGTTCAAGGGAAGTAAAAGGAGTTTCTTCTCCTCCGTCTCCAGCATTTCTGTAAATCACTTCAGTGACAAGATTAAAGAGAGAAAATCCAAAAGAACACAGCGACGTGTCAGGAACAGAAACTGAGCAGGTCAGTGATGAAGAGCAAAGCAAGGCCGTGGAGTGACCTGAAAATAAGACGCACCTTATAAAGTCATTTCTATAGCTTACAGGCTGCACACACACACACACACACACACTTCAGGGTGTGGGGTTGTATATGTGCAGTGGATGTTGCTGTGGGGAGGTTTTGTGATCAGAACCAGTTGTAGATGTTTTATTAGGTTCTTTGAAATAAATGCGTAAAAATTCTAAGCAATTCTCCAAACCTAATGAAAACACCAGGACTGGATTTATTTGATGATTTGGAAAGAATGTAAAAGTCCTTACACATGAATTAACTCAACAACTTATTCGAGCACTTTTATTTACAACTTCTTGAAGTATTTCACCTACTGAATTGTGCCAACTGCAGATTTTCATACAAAGGAGCCTGTTCTAGCTGCAATGACGTGGTCAGAGGAAGGAGGATTTAAGGTAAAGGGGTGAATGGAGAAAGCAGTGGATCAGTATAGAATATTTCCATAGTTAAGGTAAATTACTCGCAGTGTGATATATTTGCTGAAGTTTGAGTCGCAGCTCTTTTTCCTCCCTGTTTGGATTTTTGGATTAAAAGCACATATTTGAAAGTTCTCCTACTGTACATTTGTTGAAGTACTTAAATTCTGCAGTGACTAGCACATTATTCACAACTGGCCTGAAACACCATCGTCACCACATGTGGAGATGGAGACGAGCGTTCTGTGGAAACCGAACTCCTGACAAACACATATGATGGAGAGACTGAGTGGGAAGAGTCAATTCTTGGAAATAACATTCCTCTGTTTCATCCACCACCACCACCACCAGTGCATCCCAGAGTCACATTTCATCTGCTATGAACGACACGGTCATAGGTTTTTTTTTTTCTGTTTCTCCAGCAGTTGTTTAGTAATATGGTGTGTAGACATTCAAGGTCCCCAGAGGGCTCATCCTCTGACCTTTCCTTAGAGCCAACACATTTTTAATAATATTTCTCGACATTTAATGACATTTCACGAGGATTGTCATTAAACTTTTAGTTTTAGTTATTTGTGTATGATTCCCTTGGGTGATCGCTAAACTGTTCATCTACCGCCCACAATGATTTCCAGTGAAATATCTTCGTATCTTTGAGGCATTCATGATTCAATTCATCTCTCGACTTTTTCCTCCAGCAGCACAATGAGGTTGAAATTTCAACAACCTGAACTTTTTGACCTCGATTTTTTCTTTTTGTCCGTTTTTGTCTGTCGGCTGAATCTTGCCGAGGTACATTTCATGACTTTATTGCTCTAACGCACGTCAGGGACGTTATGTTTTCACCCACATTTGTTTGTTCATTTGTTTGTTTGTTGGATTCTTTTTTCACAGGATTCTACAAAAACGACAAAATCGATCTCCATCAAACAGGTGTTGAAGTATTTCTCCACCTTAGTTCACATGTAGGTTTTGTTGGAGCCTTGACATCTTTACCTGAGGTGCTGATTCATAACGACAGGGTATTATTATGCTTTAACACAGGTTTGAAGACATGCTGCATATTCGTCCCCCGGCTGTTTTACTTCCTCTTCTCCTCCCATGTCTACTTCAGCCTTCCAACACATGGATGAGGTCGAGTCTGTGTATGGACCAGTTTACATGTGAGACCGTGACTCAGTCACAAGTCACATACAAAACACGCAGCATCGCAGACTACGTTATGCGATCTGGCTGGAAACACGAGAAAACATTCCCCACATTTGTCCAGAGGCCGTGTGAGTAATGAGGCATGAATGTGTGATTTGTGTTACGCTACTTAAAAGCAAATTGTTTTATTTTTCTGTCACTTCAGGGAACTAACTGGAAACAACAGACCAAGGCGAAGCTGTAACTGAGCTGTTGACCAAGCAAGATTCCTGAAGTTAAACATGAATGACTCAGCTGAATTGTAGTTTAATGGGAGTATGATGGTATCTTTGGCAGTTTGACCGACCTCTTTTGGACATTTGAATCCAGATTGTAAAATGATGTGTAAATTGTAGGACAAAGAATCTGATTTGCTGCCATGTGCTGTGGAGTTCGACTCTTATCCTTAAAGTGATCAAGATGTTGAGTGCCCAACAAGTGGGTCACAGTGTTCCTCCTGGGGGAGATGTTGCGGTGTGTGTTGAAAACCAGTTTGTGTTGTATCAAGCGTCAGCGTTAACCAATGACCCTTCAACAGGAATTCAAATATTGCAAACAGCTTCATTCCGGCCCCGATGAGCTTTAGTGAGAATGTAGATTTTCCCATCAACTATGTTATTTGTTATTTCTTGTGGTGTTGCGACAACTTTCTGATGAAAACCAGTCAGACCATGAGTAAAGCATTGGTATCTAACAACCAAACAACCAAACCAACCAAACCAACCAACCAATTAACCAACCCGCCAACCGACCAAACACACAACCAGACAATCAATTTCTCAATCGACCATCTTACCTACCTACCTGTCAACCAGCCAACAAACCGAACACTTAACCAACCAACCAGATTGTTATTTTCTGGATAATTAATCCACTGGATAAACCAAAAGGACAATTTATTCCATGTACAAATAATTAAATGAGGAGAAATGATTTACTTAACTTTTACTGAAACCAAATGTGAGGAACAATTGACCAACTCATCTACACAAGGAATATTGCAGAAGCAGTCATGTATGTTTACGTTCTTAGTTTGATTTTCTTGACATTTCGACTTTATTCCCCGATGCAGAATGAAAAAAGAAAAAGAAAATCTTCCTGTTCTCATTTTTCTCTTGTGCCTGGTCCTGTAGTGCTGCTCTGTAAAACACAGAGACACATGGATTTGTCAAAACCAGGGGGAAATTAAAACAAATTTATTGGCGAGCTCGAAACCACAAGGGGTAAGTGACAAGTGTGTTTTGGTAACTTTAGTCAACTGACCCTCTTAACATTGTCCTCATCATTTAAACGTTACAACGGGGCAAATCCCAGGGAAACAAAGACTGCATCCAGCTGGCAAACACTCACATATGAATCCCTGTTGATTCTACACACAGTCATATGGACTCTAGACTTGAGGAAATATGCAGTGAAGTGTAGAAGCTGCAGGATCTTGTGTGAGGCGTAGCCCCCTTCGTTCTTCTGTGGTCTGCCAGAGTCACGTCGTCTAATTATTTCAACAGCCTCCGCAAGCGGACTCCAGCTGAGTTTGGGTCTCTGCAGAGGCCGAGCGGGAAGACGTGAAATCTTGAATTTTTACTGAGGGTCTTCAACCTCCTCCTCTTCTTCTTCCTCTTCCTCCTCCTCCTCATGGGACCAAACAAGGCTGCTCTCTTACAAACAAGGTCAAGCACATTTCGGGAGGAGTCATGGGAAAAGCTCAAACGTATAACAGCGCCGCACGGCCCCCCCTTTTATTTTTCATCTGGACTTAATCTGGCGATAAGATTCTAACAGCAAGTAAAGAGCAGGCTTGTTGCAGCGAGTCAACATTAACACTGAGTCATAAAAGGCGATCAAACCCGGGAAGTTACAGCGACTGTATATCACGGCCTGACAGCTGAATTTCTCAGTTTATGAGGGAGTACCACAGGCCTGGAGTGAGGAGGACGGCTCGTAACTTTCAGACATTAGCACCTGTCAGGCGTGACTGCACCTTTAAATCAATTATATTCTGTGGTTTTTCATCTCATTTTCTAATCGTTAAGATAATATTCTCTAAATTGGCAATAGTTGCTGGCTGCGGTAGGGGTCATAAACCCTGCCTCCTCCATGTTAACAGATGGGACATCTAAGTACACAAGTAATTTTTCTCCGATCACACGGATGTTCATGTGTCACATTTTCAACTAAGCTTGGTTTTAATTTGTAATTTGATGCTGTATAATTGGGATAAAATGTCCTGATCATTTCTGGATAGTGGAAGGAAGTGGAGACACGACGTCCATCTTTTTTTTTGTCTATGAAACTGACTAAATAATCTTCACTCCAAATCCATTCTCTAGAGTTATTAAAATGTTTAAACAGATTCACTTTTTAATTGTTTCTGGAGACGTAAACATGTGATCATCACTCAACAACACGCTTCTCTACATATAAAGTCCTTTTAAGATCAGTGAGTCCTAAACCAGATCATCTGTCTCATGTGGTCCTCTGCTCCCCCCCTCATGATGTGAACACCAGCCTGGCACAGCCTCCATATAAACACATCAGAGCAGATCAGTGCAGAGGTTCTGAACTTTAAATATTTATGTAGTTTATGTTAAGAAGGAGAGTCTTCATGGGTCCACACACTGAAAACCTTTGGGAAACCGGGTGATGGTTTTTTCCTCGTTTTTTTAAAAGAAAAAAAGTTTTTACAATAAAAGTTTTCCCCTAGGTTTTCTCTTTCGGCTCCTTGTGAACGTCAATAACCTGCGGAGACCTGCCTCACATTACGGGATCTACTGTTCAAGTTCAATTCACAGACAAGTGTGACTTTAATAAATTCACGTATGCATCATCCTTTGTTTTATGACATTTTTATTGCATGTACACTGCAGTGAAAGCTGAAAAAACAATGTTACAGATACGTTTACACACATATGTTTACATACAGGTAGCAAGAGGAAAAGAGTCCGTTGTATAAATGGCAGTATGTTTTTGAAAAAGTACAACAATGTTTTAAACTTAGTCTAATTATCATTTAAAATCATATAAAAGTTTTGGGTTATCAGCCAAAAAGGTTTAATTTAAATGTTTCCTATATTTTATTAATTGTTTGAAGCACAAAATGTAAAATATATTGAAAAAAAAAAATCACATATTAAGTGTATCACAGGACAGAATACAGAATACAAACATTTGAACGTGCTAAAGTCTGACTTCTGAGTTGTGAATACTGAGCTCTGCGTCACCGTTACGCTGTGAGTGAGTTGCAGTGTTCATGTGCAAAGCTGAGGTTTGGGCGTTTCCCCACTGGTGTCAGCAGTGTTTGATGTTTTGCAGTTAGCCGTTGGTCAGTCGTCGTTGTTGCAGTCCGCACACAGAATCTGACCACGGTCTGGGAAGAAGCCGGAGCCCACCAGCGACACGGAGCAGCGCGAACACTTGAAGCACGGCTGGTGCCACTGCCTGTCCTCGAAGGAGACGTACTTTCCATCCCCGAACCCTGCGAGAGAAACATACAACGCATGAGCAACTAGTGCGCCTATTCCTCCGCCGAGGCCCAACCGTCTCCTTATAACTCATTCTGAAGCTGCTTTACTAGAAATGCAGAAATGTTGCATGGTGTTTGTTTCAACTGACCCGTGATGGCCGTGTTGCAGCCGGCACACTTTTTGGCATAGAGGCTGCTGAAGCACTTGACGCAGTACGGACTCTCTCCCTGCGAGGTGAAGGGTTGACCAGCCAGCGGAGCTTTGCAGCCCGTGCAGGAGAAACACTCTTTGTGCCAAACCTGCTCCTTGTAGGTCACTCCTCCTTTGGTGAGAGCCTGCGGACACAAACGGTTTAAGTTTCTGCTTGTGGTGCCTGTTGACTGTAAGTAAAGATGGACGACGTGACAGCTCCATGAAAGTGAAGCCATAATCGGGATCGCCTCCTGGTGGCTGACTGAAATATAGGTCAGAAACCTCGCCTCCTCCATGTTAGTGGATGGGATAGGCAGATGATTTCTTTCCTTTTCAGGTAGTTTTTAATCACACTGTTTTTTTCTACCATCCTCCTACTGTCTAAAATTTGGGATAATCACCTTTACCGGCTTTGTGAATTAAGTTGATGTGTCAGTTTCTAAAGCAACAGAATGTTATTTGATAGCATGTGTGATAACAGAGTTTCTCAAAGGTGAAAAAAGTTGTTTAAAACTGAGTAACTTTGATTCTTGTTTTCGGACAAAAGACATTTGAAGGCTTCGTTTTGTTCTGTAATATTTCCGGTCAACATCAGCCGTGTCACACATGTTGCCTGCTTCACCTTATTGCAGTGGCTGCACCGAGGAGCAAGCCTGCCCTCGTAGCACGGCACACAGTAGTAGTTGTTTTTGTCTGGGATGAAAGCCTCGGCACCGATCGGCTTCTCGCAGCCGTGACACACAAAACAGTCCTCGTGCCACGTGGAGCCGCCGTACTCCAACATCTTGGAGCCTGGCGGAGGAAAGGAGACAAAGCGAGGGAGCAGATGAAGGTGGAAAATTTGATGTTTTTTGTGGGGATCTTTCCTGACATTTAAAAGCTTCTGTTTCCTTTGAGCTGATGACGTTAACACAAATACTGAGAAAACCTAAAGTGATGATAAACCTCTTCCAGCACTGAACAATTACTTCATCTTATCTCTCGTCAAATCAACCTGACAGGATTGTTTTGTTTTTAACTCTTTCATTAGAGGCTGAGTATGAGAAACACATGCTTCACTGCAGAGGTTTACAGAAGTTAGGAACCAGTCATGCTTATGAAACTGGATGTTATGTCAGATCCTTTAATCACCGGCCTTGTTTTACTACTTTTGGGAGCTAAAGTGAAGACGAGAAGGCCTGATGGTGTTTTGAACTTGAACTTGGCTGCACTGTTTAAAGTGGGGTGAGGGTTATGTGGGGGAGGGAAGCAGCTTTTAAAGGCATTCCAGGCCTCAAGAGAAACTGGAGAGAAGCGACTGCTCAGTTCAGAGAAGAACTGGTGAGTTATAATAATCCCACAGTGCCCACAGGCCCGAGTAATTTTCAGTCATCCGACACCACCGCTGCACTTGTGTCGTCACAGCAGCCGGAGCTGAAACCTCTGCTGGGAGAAATGTTCACCAGAGCAAGGAAACAATCTTTGTGTCACATCTGAGCTGTCAAACCCGGTTTGACATCTTCAACCCTGCAGAGACTGGGTGTGAACTTTCTGACTCTTTTGTTGTGTTTGCTCAAGGATCTGTCTGCAGGAAGGCTGGTTAACTTTGTCCTCTTTCATTCTTGTCTCTACCTGGCATGACCGTCTTGTCGCAGGCCACACACTTGGAGGAAAACTCGTTGCAGAAGCAGTCGCTGCACACGAGCGCGTCCTCCTGGCAGGTGAAGGGCTCGTCCGCCAGAGAGCGGTCGCAGCGGAAACAGCGAAAGCAGTGCTCGTGGTAATGTCTGTTTTCATAGAAGAGCTCCTGCAGGGAGGGAGAGGGAGGGTCAGAGGGGGCAAACAGAGATTGTAAAACTTCTAAGTGGATCTTTAATAGAAGATCCATGATCGTATTTAGAAATACTCTAGTCAATTCCTTGCTTCAGAGACATGTCAGAGACATTAAAAACAAACTGGGACGGCTTTCATTAAAAAGAATTCCTCTGCCAAGGCCCAACAGTCCCTTAAATTCTGAACCAAAACAATTTACCAATTTAACAAGCCCGTGTTCCATCGTTCCCCAAACAAACACATGGACGGACAGGGGTGAAAACATAACCTCCTTGGTGGAAGTACAATTTTTTATAAAAGATTCTCGAACCCTGTATTAAAGATTATGGCTGTTACATTTAAAGCAGCTCTGGTGAAAAGTTAATAAAGATTTGAATATTTTGTACAATGAAATAAAACATTTCAACAAGTTTTGTTTATGGTGGTTGATGTTGGACTATGTTTAAAAATAAAGCTGGATGTTTCTTCACAGCCGTCATCACTGAGGCAGTTTGTGGTTGTGGTGTTTCTCTACAGTTCCTCTCAGGGAGACTTAATGTGCTGCCCCTCATCCGCTCAGAGGTCAGAGGTCATGGTCAGCCACAGGATCCAGTTTCCCACACAAGGGCACTTCAGTGCTTTGGATGTTTGCCGACACAAGAGGCTGAAAACCAAAAGTTTTCCTTTTTTTCTTATGACATCCTGCTGCCCTCCAAGAAAAAGAGTTAACACAAGGACACACACATGAGAAAAATCCACTTTCTCCTCTGTATAAAGACTCACTTTTGTGATTTTTATCTTTTACAGCTGCTTGTGTTCCAGTTCATGTGGTCAGCTCTGTGACAAATGGCTCCATTGAACGGAGCTGACCACGGTGGGTGAAAAACTTATCTTTTGAGGGATGGGGTTTCACAGTAAAAAAAACAACATGCTGAGACGGACGAGGACGAATGTTGTTACGTCTTGTCATGGAGGAGGGAACGGCCAAAGCAAGCAGCAGAGTAATTTACTGCCAGGCCCTCGCAGGGAGTCCATAATTCACAGGACACTGATGGCCTCATGGTGTCTGTGGGTGTTTCCTCCAGGACGCTGTTTTTCATTTTCACTAACTAAAGGCATTCAGGGCTGTTAGAGGAGATTACAGACAATCTGATGTTCTGTAAGAACAGCTGATGTTTTGCAGGGACTCCAGCTGGACTCCAGCAGTTAGAAGAATGATCAGAAGTGGAAGAAGTGGGCCTTCTCATGATCCTTGAAGTAGTGATACTACACTGTGAAAATATTCAACTACAAGTCAAGTCCTATGTTTAAAGTGGTACTTGAGAAAAGTACCTAAATGTAATAGCTTCTCCAAGGAGGTCATGTTTGTTTGTTTCTGTTTGTTTATCCGACTTTCAGCAGGATGACTCAAAAACTACTGAAATGATGGTGGAAGGATGAGACATGAGCCAGGAGAGAACATCACTTTATCATTACGAGACGGGTCATTCTCACCTTGGCGTTGTGACTGATGATTTCTTTACACTCCTGGCAGGTGTGGGCGTGCAGGCGGTCGTAGCAGGGGACGCAGTGTGGGTTGTCCTCCACCTGGATGTATTTACGTCCATACAGGGACTCGTTGCAGTTTTTGCAGTCGAAGCGGTCACTCATGATGTCTGTCTCTTTTTTCTGGCCGACCAACTGAAAAACAAAGAAGTCCCAGACGCAGGTTAGTATCAGTAAGATGTCAGAGCAGGGAGGAGGAGGAGTGAGATTAGAAAGAGAGAAAGCAGGAGAAAGAGAAGAGAGCCCCCCCCCCCCGAGAAAGTAATTCATGTTATTGTTGTACAATATGTTTAGGTCTTATTATCTTCTTATCTCTGCCTGTGGGTGATATCCTATCCCTCTGCCTGCAACATGAAATACCGCTCCACTCTAGACTTTGTTTATTAGGTACTAATAGACAAGAGAAGTGAAACAACCTTAACATGTGTTTATCATTGTAGTAATGGCTGTGAAGATCCTCTTCATCTCAAGGAAGTACTTTATTATTTATCACACATCATCTGTTTTAAACCAGGTGGTGGAGAACCTCAGGCCTCCAGGCTGGATACAGACCAGGACACAGTTTGAGCCTTAGACTGTATACAAGGTTTGAACCAGCCCATCAGAAACTCCATTCATTAAAAACGTGTCAACAGAGGAAAAACTAATTAAAATAGACATGGCCTAATTTTGTTACTGCAATAAAATAAAGGAAAAAATGTAAATTAAATAAAATAGGCAAACATGTCCTTTAGAATTGTCCCATCTGACCCATCTTTACATACAGTCTATAAATGGAACACACTCTTAGTTGTTACAAGTCACGAACAAGCGTCATGGCGACTGTCAGGAAAATAAATGGGCAAACTATTGTGTTTGTGTAGCCAGTGTGTGTGGTTTGTGGGGTCGTGCTCACATTGATGAAAAAGGTCAATCACGAGTGTTATTACAGCTGGAGATTAACTGGATGAGTTGCAAGGACAAATGTACTGGCAATGGCAGAGTGTGTGTGTCCGACAGGCAGGTGTTGTGGTGAGTGAGCTCGTAGCTGAGATGCTGAAACATTAAAGAAGCAGGAAAAAGTAGGACTGCTCCAAAATGTCGTGGAAAACGGATGTGTGATGATCACAGCGTATTCAGATCGTTGCCTTGATTGCACGATTTAATTCCAACAAGGCAGTTACCATCAGGGTGGAGTGACGATGCAGCAATGATGGATTAAGTGATGTAACGCTGGACGTCACTGGTGAAGCAGTGGAAGTGGAGTGCGTGAAGAAAGATGAAAACTGGAACATGAAGAGAAATAATGGGAGACGCCCAAACACTGAGCCCTGGGGGACTCCAGAGGACCATTAACTGACGGTGATGACCTGTTGTCCGTCTGTGAGATGTTTAGTTGTTCCGAAAAGAGGAGGAGCTTGTTGGTGACTTTGGAAAAACTGCCGAATAGAATCGATTAAAATCAGATTTACGATGCAAGAAATAGAAACAGTACCCCGGAAGATATTGTTGTGCACTTTAAATGGAAGTGGCTGACTGAAGAGTGAAGGGTTGATTCATTGTAAAACTTTACTGTAATATTATAACTGCTTCTCTTATTGCATCTTCACTCACTCACCAGTGAAAGCTCACGTTGTCGGCCTCTCCCTCCCACTCATTCTTGTTTGAAACCCCCTGCGGCATTTTTGGCATTGAGAAGGAACAACCAAACAATATTAATTGTTGGGAGCTGGACTGAAACAGCGTTCTCAATTTCAAAGGCTCTCTCTCTCTGGAGGGCATCTTTTAATCTGTGTTTGGTTTGTGTTTAAAGGGCAACACCACTCGTTTATCTAAGATAACAAAATCCTAAACTCGTAATGTCATAAAGATGTTTGCTTGATTTAGTTTACCCACTGAAATTACAGTGATCATGACATTGACATGTCTAGTTTCTAAATTGGGCTACATTTGGTAAGTTTGTGTATATAATTCTAGTGTTTCAGTGACTGTATTTCATTTAAATACAATGACCTGTAAGGGAAATGTAACACAATCATGCAGAATGTACTCATGTTCATTTCCCCTATGATTGATCATGATTGAATCTTTACAATGTGACCTTGATCATGCTGAATCCTGTGCAACTGATTGAATCTTGACCTGATTCCCTAAACTAAGGCATTGTTGCCCTGATGTCATCAGAAGATCCTGACCTTTGGCTCAGAAACAACCTCAACCAGTGTGGGAGGAACGAGCCAAATGTATAAAGAGAAAGAACAGCTTCCCATCGGCGTGCATATTACAAACTAACCTTTGTCTTGTGTACCATGCTCTGAGCATTAAAGTGTGACGATACCGTAAGAGATTTTTGTCTCGTTCCTCGTTGTCAGAGTGGGATTGCAGAATTGCCACGACAGACCCAAGATAATAACTTGCAGAGGCTGCTAGAAACAAGATGATGTGTCTCATTGATCATGACTCAGAAGGTGATAGATGGTTAGTTCGAGTATTTCAAAAAGAAACAACCAACACGACTACAACGAGACACAAGCACAAATCAAAATGCTTGACCCAAAGCTTGTGGAGCAGAGGAAGGACAGGTGGAAATAAGGCCAGGCACACAGACAATAACATCATCCCACTGTTATTACTGAACACAGCGAGGCATTAACAGAATATCTGACCCCATGTTCTGCAACAGCAAAAGGAAATGAGCGAGGAAATGATGTGTGGGAGGTTAAAATACTGTCCTGTGGAACAGTGCAGGACGGGCAGGGCTGAGCATGATACTGTATATAAAGTGTGGATGTATGTTCCTGCTCGTTACTACAACGACTGGAATATATTTTACTTGGAAACAGTTATTGTTTACAGTGTCCGTCTTATTTTGGGTTGAGTGGTTTGACATGTTTCTGTAATGTCAGAAAACAGGAGATGCGGTCAACTTTGAAATGTCCCGGGGGGATCGAGGAATGAGCCGTCATGTGTTTGGTTGAAACAAGGACCAAGAGCTCAGTGCAACGATAAAAGGCCATTTGTTCCACCACCATTAGTGGTTTGTAATGAAGCTGTGAAGAATGAAACGCTCTTCACGGTGAAGGTTCCCCCTGCACAAAGCTGGGTTTTTTTCAGGTGCCGTGCTTCATGCTCCACAACCTCCAAGTATTTGCATCTGGTCTGTTGAGGAGTCGTCCAGAAAGTGCAGTTTACATTCCTCCCGTCTGACTGCTATCAAACATTTTGATTCTAATAACCAATGATGCAGTAATTTCAGATAAACATGAAAGATAAACACAGTCTGCTCTCAGTCATGTCCCAAAGCCGACGCCAGCAGCAGAAACTCCCTCTCCTCCGCGACGTTTTCTCCCAACACCATGTTAGAGCAACACTGAGAACATCCCTCAAACATCCCAGCAGATAACAGCGCTGCTTCCTCTGACAGAGACTCAGGCCGGCTCAACAAAACATGGAGGAAAACCAAACTGAGAGAAAACTTAACATCCTATGTCTGTTTTCTGTCAGATTGTTGTCTGGATGGGGAAATCGGCTCAACTTCCCCCCTGAAATGTCTGGAGAGGTTCGGTTTCTATTCTCATCCATCCATGTCTGCAGTGAATGCAGTGGTAGAACAATGGTTTTCCTTCCGGACACAGTCTTGATTTTGTGTCTTTATGTTTCTCTTCCTGAGCCAGGACATCTGTGGACACATTCTGTGGTCTCCAGCTGTTGTCTTCCATACAAACAATTCTCCTTGAGGGAAATCTTCTTAACACAACAGCATCAGATTAAAACACAAATCATCTTCAAAGCTACATAATCAGCAATTATGTTTAAGACTCATAAACAAGTGAAAAAAAACTGTTGTAGGGTAAAGCTGGAGAAAGTAGGTAATTAGCTTATCTTAGCATAAATACTAAAAGCATGGGGGGGGGCCATGAGATATTTTTTTAAATGCCTAAAGCTAACTTATTAGCAACCAAGCAAGCTAATGATTTTGATAATTGATCATTAAAGGTTTACTCAGTCCTCAGTAAACTAAATGTATATAGCTATCACTTTATAACTGTTGCTTTTAATCCTGTTTACGTGTGTACTACTGTTAGACTACATTTAGTCTCACCCTCATTGTTTAAGCATCAAATAACAAACGTACAACAATTTAATGTTCTGGCTTCACTTTTGGGAGCTGTCACGTCTTCTGTGTCCATTCACAGTCTTATGTCTCAACTGACGTCTGGTGAGACTCTTTTCATCATCATACCTTTGACTGTCAGACAATTAAATCAGCTGACTCTGACTCACACATTGTCAGTGCCTGGTTTAGGACACATTCACTTTACAGGTGTTCCCTTGGAACACGCCCAAGAATACTTGTTGCCCCTGTTCTCCTCCACCACAGGACTTTTAACCAAACACTCCATCTTGTCTAAGTACTTTTTTCTCTGTAGCAGCACGGCTGCCGAAACTATTTAAACCCACAATTCACCTTGTGGAGTGGACGCGCTGAATTCTTCACTGATACTCTGTCTGTCCCGCTGAGGGATTTACCGCGGTCGCTTGGCTTTTGTAGTAGCAGCCAAATGGCAACAGTCTCCCAGCCACCAGGCCTCCTGTCTCATGTCCCTTCATGGCTCACTGCTGTTGTTTCACTCTGCACCAACCTGACACTTTCTTACGACCGGAGCCAGGAACTCTGCGAGCCATCACAGCTCTGCTGGGTGTTAGTGTTTATTTTCCCCGAGGAGGAATTTGGACTTGTGTGTGAGGTTTACAAACCAGACCGCTCCATGATGAAAACCACTGTCACACGCAATAAAATCCAGTGGGACCAGTATATAGGTAAGTGTTAAATCTGTCACAGCCACAGAATCTTAAATCGTGCATTATAAAAAAGCCTTTTTCTGGGTGACGTTATTACATTCCCACTCTGAACCTGAGCTACAGACGCTACAAATCTGCCATGAGAAGGACTTTTTTTCTGGAAATGTTTAAACTCAAAATCAGTGCTGTCTTTGAGCAGTTCAAACGTGGAGTGAGTAGCAAAGTAGTTTTTTCGTAACATCATGGATGGCAATGTTGGTCGATTGGTGGGCTACGTCCACAATTATCTTAAATCGTTCTTTGAGGGTCGAAAGATGGGCTGGAGCCAATCCCAGCTGATATTGGGCCAGTGT